CCGCGCGCGGTGGGGCAGGGGGACCGGCCGGCCCCGAGCGCTCGGCCGGCGCTCGGCCGGGGCTGCCGCGGCTCCTGCCCGGGTCCTGGCCGACGGCTGCCGTCTGCCGTGCTTCCTGGCAGAGCCCCCTCCCGTTTCTCTCGGCAGTTCCCGGGCTTTTTGAATGAGACCAGGTGTTCGGAGGAGCCGGTGTTCCTTCCCAGCGCTTGTGGTTAAGGAGAGCTTTGGGGAGGAGGTGGGGCGTGTCGTGCCCCGAAGGAGGGGATGTGGCGCACCCCAGCGGGACGATCTCGCTGGGAAGGCAGTTAGGGGATTAGTTTGCCCGCGTGAGGGGCACCCCCGAGGGAGCCGGGTGGATTAGGTGTGCGCGGCGTGAATAGTTGGTCTCCGGAGGCTCCTCGCAGATGGTGCTTCTCTGCACCCCGGTTTGTAGCGGTAAAGGGGTCCCCAGCAAGCAGGAGCGACTTAGAAACAAACGCATGAGGCTTTTGCCCCGCAGCTCCAAACAGTCTAGACTAGAAAACTGAAGCACAAGATAATATGCAATGGAGAAAGAGCTGTTTTTATGGCTGTTTTTATGGTCCTGACGATCTTGAAGATTTTGGAAATACTTGCGTTGAACTGATGGCTTTTTAAGGGAGAAAACAAGTTTGCTATACACTTCTGACATCGTTTATTAAGTTTCTGTTCTGTGCAACGTCCATTATGGGAACAAAACAGAAGCCTAGGGGTTATTGTTTAGAGCTGCCCTTGGACGAGATGTAAACTGCAGAGGGAAACTAAGTACGTACAACCGTGGAAGAGACTAGACCTGTGCTGTCTGCGTTCAGTTCAGTAGCCACTAGCCACGTGCGGCTCTTTACATCTTAATTAGTTAAAAGCCAAAAAAAAAAAAAATTAAAAACACGTACTATCCGTTTTTCAAGGGCTCAGTAACCACACTTGACTAGTGGCTACCCTATTGGACAGTGCAGATGTAAAATAGTTTCATCATCACAGAAAGTTGTGTTGGTTAGTGATGCTATGGACTGTCGATCATTAAAGAGTAATAGTTGTGTTGCCCAGTGAGTATGCCAGCGGGTCTTCAATTCATTGAGCATCTATATTACTGAGCACTCCCCACTGGCCATGCACTGTGCTGGAGGCTAGGGAACCTTGGGGAACCTGTTCCCTATCTCCAGATTCATTTGCACTGCACAGTTAGTTCTTCATCTTTTCTGACCTATTAATATATACTTTGTTCTTAATCTTTTCATGTGCTCCTCGGATAAAAACTGTTAGTTATAGTGTGCTTTTCTCTTAAGGAGCTACTGCATTTTATTTGCAGATATTTTATACATGGTAATGGTTTTAAGTTTAAAAAAAATTGTTTCCTTGACCTGCCTTTGTCAGATTTGACCTCATTATTATGCCATTTTCATACAAGGAATTGGGAAGATTTTTATTTTTCTATGCCCTGGGATAGTTTAAGTCAGTGATTCCCAAAGTGGGCGCTACCGCCCCGCGGTGGGCGCTGCCACGATCCAGGGGGGCGGTGATGGCCACAGGTGCATTTGGGGGCGATGAGTAACTGCTATTAAAATTTAAAAAAAATTAATTTCCAGGGGCTGAGTAATATTTTTTCTGGAAAGGGGGCGGTAGGCCAAATAAGTTTGGGAACCACTGGTTTAAGTAATACATGAGTATTTCTTGCAAATTTGAAAAAATAATCGTGAAACTACTTTGAGTCTGGATTTCTTTCAGGGTGATAGTCTATATAGACTTGTTTTTCTTGGATTAATTTTGGTAATTTCTGATTTTTCTAGAAAATAATACAGTAAGATTTTCTAGTTAATTGTAATAGAGTACTACATAGTATTGTTTTTTTAATTTTTTTAATTGCATCTGTGGTTATTTCCATTCCTCATTCCTGTTTTGTGTAATTATGCTTTATTTTTCCCTGATCTGATAGCTAGAGGTTTACTTTTTTTTTTAATCCAAGGAAACAGCTCTTGGATTTAAATTTAATTCTATTTCTTTTCATCATAATTCATTATTTCAGTTTTTATCGGTTACTGTTTCCCTAGATTTATTTTTATAAAATATATTTCTATTGATTTCAGAGAGGAAGGAAGAGGGAGAGAGATGGAAACATCAATGATGAGAGAGAATCATTGATTGGCTGCCTTCTGCACGCCCCCTACTGGGGATGAGTCTGCAACCCGGGCATGTGCCCTTGACCAGAATTGAATCCAGGACCCTTCAGTCCCCAGACCAGCTCTGTCCACAGCCAAACCGCCTAAGGCTATTTTGATTTTTTTAACTTAATGTATTGAATGCTTAATTGGCTTATTTAAAAACATTTTTAATAGCTTTATTGAGCTATTACACATGTACCATACAATATACCCTTAAAGTGCACAATTCAGTGGTTTTCAGTATATTCATAGATATGTGCAACCATCACCACAGTCAATTTTAGAACATTATCATCACCTCAAAAAAGAATGTACACTTTAGCTATCAGTTCCCTATCTTTCATTCCTCTAAGTAACCATTAGTTTACTTTCTCTATAGATTTGCCTATTGTGGGTACTTAATATAAATAGAATCATATGTGGTATTTTGTGATTGGTTTCTTTCATTTAGCATGATGTTTTCAGGAAATATATATATAGCATGCGTCATTCCTTTTTGTGGCTGAAAAATATTCTATATGGATATACTATATTTTGTTTATCCATTCATTAGTTGATGGGCTTTTTAAATTTTATTTTAATCTTTTGGCTGTTATGAGGAATGCTGCTGTAAACATTTGTGTATAAGTTTTTGTGTGGACATAAGTTTTTATTTCTTTTGGATATATATGAATGGAATTGCTGGAACATATAGTAACTCTATTTTAACCTTTCGAGGAACTGCCAGACTGTTTTCCAAAGTGGCACCATTTTATATTCCCATAATGTATGAAAATTCCAGTTTCTCCACATCCTCTCCAGCACTTATTATTTGATTTTTTGATTATAGCCATCCTCAGAGTGTGAGATGATACCCTTATTGTGGCTTTATTGTTATTTTTAAAATTCTCACCCGAGGGTATGCTTTCATTTATTTATTTATTTATTTTTGAGAGAGAGAGAGAGAGAGAGAGAGAAACATCGCTGTGAGAAATATTGATTAGTTACCTCCCTTACTTGCCCAGACCCAGTATCAAATCTGAAACCTGAGTATGTGCCCTGACTAGGAATTGAACCTGTAACCTTTTAGTGTATGGGATGACACTCCAACCAACTGAGCCATTTGGCCAGGGCTCTCTCTTATTGTGGTTTTGATTTGCATTTCCCTGATGGCTCATGATATTGAGAATCTTTTCATGTATTTATTGGCCATTTATATATCTTTGATGAAATGTCCATTTCACATCCTTTGCCCATTTTTAATTGGATCATTTGTCTGCTTATTATTGAATTGTATGAATTGCTTATATATTCATATTTTCCACGTTGTGAATCTTCAGATTCCCTTTATAAGGTGTATGATTTGCAGTATTTTCTCCCAGTCTAGGTTGTTTCATATTCTTGATAGTGTTCAAGAATGTGAAGTTCAGTTTTTTTTTTCCTTTTGTTGCTCATATTTTTGGTATCATATCTTAGAATCTATTGCCAAATGTAAACCTGTTACCCTATGTTTTTTTCTAAGAGTTTAACAAAGTTATTGCTCTAAATAGGTCTTTGATCAATTTTGAGCTAATTATATATACATATATATTTATTAATTTCAAAGAGGAAGGGAGAAGGAGAGAAAGAGAAACATTAATGATGAGAAAGAATCATTGATCAGCTGCCTCCTGCATGCCCCCTACTGGGATCGAGCCTGCAACTTGGGCATGTGCCCTTGCTGGAATAGAACTGTGACATCCTGGTTCATAGTTCGATGTGCAACCACTGACCCACACTGGCCGAGCTTGGGTTAATTTTTTGTTAACAATTTTATTTACTTACTTATTTATTGAATTTGTTGAGGTGAAATCCTATATAAAAGGCTAATATGCAAATTGACCAAACAGCCGAACAACCAGTCACTATGACGCACACTGACCACCAGGGGGCAGACGCCCAACACAGGAACTGCCCCCTGGTGGTCAGTGTGCTTCCACACTGGTTTGTTGAATGCTTTACGATGAAATGGGTGTTAGATTTTGTCAAATTATGCTATTAATTGGTGTATTATATTAATTGATATTGGTTGTTAAGCCATTTGTGCATTCTGAGGATAATTTACTGCATCATGATATATAAATACTTTATATGTTGCTGAATATAGGAACACAAATATACTAATTTACCTAGTATTTTCTTTTTAATTTTTTGCGTATGTATTTCCAAGATACTGGCCCATAGTTTTCTTGTGATGTTTTTGTCTGGTTTAGTATCAGGGGAATGTTGACTTTATAAAATGCGTTGCAAGTGTTCCTTTTGTTTTAGAGTTTGAAGGATCAGAATTAATAATTTTTTGACTGCTTGGTAGATTCTATCATATGTGTTTGGGCTTTTCTTTTTGGAAAGTATTTTAATTATAAATTTATACTGTTTTTTTCTACTCAGATCACCTATTTCTTCTTGAGTCAGTTTCAGTAAGTTGTGATTTTTCAGGTGTTTGTCCATTTCCTCTAACTTAACAAATTTCTTAACATACAGTTATGTATGTTATCATAGTACAGATGCTCCTTGACTTTAAATGGGGTTCAGTCCCAGTAAACCCATTGTAAGTTGAGTATAAGTTGAAAATGCATTTAATACACCTAACTTACTGAACATCATAGCTTAGCCTAGGCTACCTTAAATGTGCTGAGAACACTTACATTATTGGGATGTAGCACCATCATGAGTTTTAATTGCCTTCCTCTTCTCACCAGAAGCAAGAGCCACAGATGGGCATTTTGTTGGCATGATGGGATGTGAAAGCATAAAACACAGTACATTGTAGATTATTGGTTATTTATCCTCATAATCTTGTGGCTGATTTGGAGCTGAGGCTTGCTGTTGCTGCCCAGCATCACAAGAGTATCATATTGCATATTGCTAGCCTGGGAAAAGACCAAAATTCAAAATTTGAAGTATGGCTGAAACCGGTTTGGCTTGGTGGATAGAGTGTCCGCCTGCGGACTGAAGGGTCCTGGGTTCGATTGCGGTCAAGGGCATGTACCTTGGTTGTGGGAATATCCCCAGTAGATGTGCAGGAGGCAGCTGATTGATGTTTCTCTGTCATCGATGTTTCTAACTCTGTATTTCTCTCCCTTCCTCTCTGTAAAAAATCAATAAAATATATTAAAAAAATTTTTTTTGAAGTATGGTTTCTACTGAACATATAAGATAGCCACCATCGTAAGGTCCAAAGTTTGTAAGCTGAACCATAAGTTGGGGATCGTCTGTATCCTTTATAATTCTTTGTATATTTGTAGTGTCATTAGTCAAGTCCCCTCTTTAATTTCCAATTTTAGTAATAGTGTAATAAGAGTATGTTTAATTTTGTGAGAAACTGACAAACTTTCTTGCAAAGTGACTTGCCTTCACTTCTTTTGGATATATACCCAGAAGTGCGATTGTAGGATCATATGGGTCATATGGTAGTTTTGGTTTTAATTTCCTGAGGGACCTCTGTTCTGTTTTTTGTTGTTTTTTTTTTGTGATGGTTGTACCATTTTATATCCTACCAACAAGGGTTCCAGTTTTTCAATATCCTGGCCAATAATAATAATTATTATTTTTAATACTAGCCATCCTGATTAGTGTGAGGTGATTTCTCATTGTAGTTTTTTAAAAATATATACATATTTTAATTGATTTCAGAGAAGAAGGGAAAGGGAGAGAAAGCTAGATACATCAATGATGAGAGAGAATCATTGATCAGCTGCCTTCTACATGGTCCATTCTCAACCACTGAGCCACAACCGGCTGGGCTATTTTTTAAAAATCTTTGTTGTTGACAGTATTATATATGTTCCCTTTTTTACCCCATTGGCCCCTTCTAGCCTCCCCCCCCCACCCCAGGCCTTCACCACCCTGTTGTCTGTCCATGGGTTACGCATATATGCATATGAGTTCTTTGGTTGATCTCTCCCACACCCTCACCGCCTTTCCCCCTTCCCCCTGCCTTGCCTCTGTGATTTGACCATCTCTTCCATGTTTCTGTGTCTCTAGATCTATTTTGTTCATCAATTTATTTTATTAGATTCCACATATGAGTGAGATCATGTGATACTTGTCTTTCTTTGACTGCCTTATTTATTAGCTTAGCATAATACTCTCCAGGTCCCTCCATGCTGTGTCAAAGGGTAAGAGGTCTTCTTTTTTACTGCTGCATAGTATTCCATGGTGTAAATGTACCACAGGTTTTTATCCATTTTTCCACTGATGGGCACTTGGACTGTTTCCAGATCTTAGCTATTGTAAATTGTGCTGCTATAAACATAGGAGTGACACATTCTTTCTGATTGGTGTTTCAGGTTTCTTGGGTATTTGTCTGTTTTTAGGTCACTACCATACTGTTTTAATTACATAGCTTTATAATGTAGTTCTATTTTTTAATATATATTTTTTATTGATTTCAGAGAGGAAGGGAGAGGGAGGTAGAAACATCAGTGACGAGAGAGAATTATTAATCGGCTGCCTCCCACACGCGCCCCAACTGGGGATCAAACCCACAGCCTGGGTATATGCCCTGACTGGGAATCAAACCTTCTACCTTCTGGTGTATGGACAGTGCTCCTCCCTTGTGACTTCTGGTTTGACCCGTTGTTTTTCTAAGAGTATATTGTTTAATTTTTATATATTTGTGGAATTTCAGTTTTTCTTGTGCTGTTGATACCTAGTTTCATCTCATTGTGATTGAAAAAGATAAGTGTGTGAGTTCAATCTTCTTGAATTTGTTAAGACTTGTTTTGTGCTTAATGTGTTCAATCCTGAAGGATATTTCATGTGTACTTGAGAAATGTATATTCTCTGTCGTTGAGTGGAGTGTTCTGTATATTTCTATTAGGTCCAGTGTCTATAGAGTTCAGTTCCTCTATCTCCTTGTTCTTCTATCTGATTGTTCTATCCATTATTGAAAGTGAGGTATTGAAGTCTCTTAATATCATTGAAATATCAAACTTTGCCTCATTAATTTATGAGCTCTGAGGTTTGGTGCATAAATACTTGTTATATGTTCTTGGTGAATTGATCCTTTTGTCATTATAAAATGTCCTCCTCTGTCTCTTGTAACTGTTATTGATTTAAAGTCTTCTTGTCTGATACTAGCATAGACACTTCTGTCCTCTGTTGGTTTCCATGTGCATGAAAATTTTCCCATTCTTTTACTTTCAGCCTATGTGTGTCCTTAGATCAAACTACTTTTCTTCTAGACAGCATATAGTTGAGAATATGTTTATATTGGTTTTGAGAGAGAGAGAGAGAGAGAGAGAGAGAGAGAGAGAGAGAGAGAGAGAGAGAGAGAGAGAGAAACATCAATCACATGTCCTGACCAGGAATCAAACCCACAACCTTTTGGCGTACTGGATGATGCTCCAACCAACTCAGCAACCGGACCAGGGCAGAAGTCCGTTAACTTTTAATATTAAAAACTGACTTAGGAAAGTACTCTTTAGAAATTAATTTATATGAAAAGGCATTTAATCTCAGATCAGAGAATTGCTGATGACACCTGTTTAGTTTTGAAGCACTTATTTTAAGAATCCTCCATCAAGTATTTGGGTCACCCTACTATCCAGAGGCAACTGTGGGAAAGCTGATCAAACATGTATTAGAAATTAATTATTTGATAAAGTCAAAACAGTCAGGTAGACAATAAAAACCAGGAATTCTGGGAAATGGGTTTTTAAGTAAGAACATCAAACATTTAATTTTAACTTTCAGGTTTTCTTTCAACTGATAAAGTGAAGGGGAGTGTTCTTTTTCTCCCACATTGTGTTAATTGTCAACTTGCTAGTTTCTTCCTATTGTGTAGCATTAGTTTTCTACAAATATTCTAATGAATTGAATCCTCTCTTTGTAAGCTGTTATGAATCAGCTGTTTTCAAAGGCAAGACCCCTCATGCTCCACCCCTAGCATTATTTAGCTGCAGTGAATAGCCATTTTGACTTTCATTTTTTCATTCTTCTTTCCTGAAGGGCTTATAGAAGATTAGCTATGCCAAAACATTGGCTGAATTGTTATATATTTAGGTATTTCAGATTACCAAAATGAATTTGCATAACAGCTTTCTTTGTTTTTCTTTATCCTTTAAAAATTGCCATTGAAGCAACGTGGGTATATCCCATGGTGCTCTGTATTTTGAGAAAAACCTCTTGGAACACTTTATATCTTAGAAATCTCTCTCTCCTTTTTCTCTTTAGTTATTGAATAGATTTTCAGTTAAGCTGGCCTTTCTATGACCAAAAACACCTTGTTGTATGTGCTCTGTAAAAATGTTTTGTTAGTGTAGTAGCAGTAATTCTGGGGAAAAATCTGATAACCTTGGGTTTCCTTCAGAGGCTTTTACATTTGTTGTTATTAATATTTTATTAGCATTCATCTTTTTTTAAAATATTTTTTTTATTGATTTCAGATAGGAAGGGAAAAGGAGAGAGAGATAGAAACATCAATGATGAGAGAATCATGGATCAGCTGTCTCCTGCATGCCCCCGATGTGGATCAAGCCTGCAACCTGGGCATGTGCACTGACCGGGAATCGAACTGTGACCTCCTGGCTCATGGCTTGATGCTCAACCACTGAGCCACATTGGCCAGGCAGCATTCACCTTTTTTTTGACTCACAGCTGCCTGTTTTATAACAGCTTTCTTTTTTATGGCTATTGTGTCTTTTTTCTTTATCTCTTTGAGAATCTAAGATATTCTTATTTTTAAAATGTCTTTTGAAGGTGTAGTTTGTAATCACCTTTTTAGTAGGAGTGTTGTTTTGATTTTTGGTGCACCTTCTCTACCTTTGTGTTTTGTGGTTGTCTCCGCCTGTCCCTTGTATCTGCTTTTTTAGGAAGAAGTTTAATATTGGAAGCTTTGGGTTTTTATTCTCCAGGGATATTGGGTAAAATCTTGAGAATCAGTCCCTGAACCAGAGAGTGACTTGACCTAGTTCATTTTTGTTTGATTGCATCTGATATTTTTCATTTGCATTGTTTCAGCCTTGGGCAGCAGTCACAGCTTTTATTGCTGTCTTCTACAACTGGGAGAGCCCTGTTTCAACCAGTTTCATAAAATGAGCCTAGCTTTTATTTTAGTACTTATTATTAGAGCTAATTTCTTAGGTATCTCCAACATTAAGATTTTTACATAATTTGCCTGTCTCTGCTTGCTTCTTCTTCCTCTGGGGATATAGGAAATTAAAGAACTGCTGTAATTTATTGGAAAGTATATTGAGTTAACAGTATAACCATAAGTTCAGTGAGGATTATAACTTGAATAGTGGTTGTGAAGTTGAAATGTTATATATATGAAAATGTTTATAAATTGAGAAATAAATTTGTTAGATTTTGTTAGTACTATGTTTAAATCTGCTTTTGATTTTAAGGTTGTTCCATTGACCAGTCATGTATGGCAACAGTCATCATCTCAAGAAAATAGTAGAACACAGATTTCTGATTCTAATGTGGCCTCTTCGGAAGAAACAGCTCAGAAGGGTTCTGGGGATGATCAGGTATGTCTTATATAACTGGCAAACTATCTTACTTTTGGTAAACAGCATGAGAAATTCTTATTTACCTATGAAGAATGGAAAGAGGTGAATTACTTTAATAAACCCTTACTCAATGGTTAAATATTTACAGGTGATTATCTAACGTTATAAGAAAGTGTCAAAACTGTTTTTCTAAGTGACTGTACCATTTTACATACTCCATAGTGTATGAGAGTTCTAGTTGCTTTGCATTCTTTGAGCTCTTGGTATTATCAATTTTTAAAATTTTATCCATTCTAGGTGTATTATGGTGTTTCATTGTGGTTTTAATATGCATTTTCCTAATGACTAATAATACTGTGCACTTTTTGTGTACTTATTTGCCATCCATGTTTCTTGTTTCTTTTTAAGATTTTTTAAATTGATTTTTAGAGAGAAAGGGAAAGGGGAAGGGGGAGAGAGAGAGAGAGAGAGAGAGAGAGAAACATTGATGTGAGAGTGCAACATCAGCTGCCTACTGCATGCCCCCTACTGGGGATTGAGCCCAGAACCCAGGCATGTACCCTGACTGGGAATTGAACTGGCAACCTTTCAGTTCATGGAAGGACACCCAACCAACTGAGCCATAGCACCAGGGCTCCATCTTTCCTCTTTAGTGAAGTATCTATATGTCTGTTCCCCATTTTTTTTTCTTGCCGATGTGTTTCATTTATTGAATGTTGAGAGTTCTTTATATATTCTAGATGTAAGTCCTTTATCAGATATGTGTTTTGCAAATATATTCCCCCAGTCTGTGTTTTTTCTTTGTATTTTCCTATCTCTCTTTCAAAGAGCAGAAATTTTAATTTTGATGGAGTTGGTTTATTGATTTTTGTTTTTTGGTGGTTTATACTTCTTGTATCCTACCTGAGAAATTTTGAACTAATCATAGGTCACAAAGATTTTCTCCTATATTTTTTGTTAGAACAGGGTTTCTCAACCTTGCCGCTTTTGACATTTTAGGCCAGATAATATTTTATTGTGTGGGCTGTCCCGGGTATTGTAAGATGTTTAGCAGCATCCTTGGTCTCTTCCCACTAGATAGCAGTAATACTCATGTTTGACATATATGTGTGGGTCTCTTTCTGTTGGTTTATTTGTCTTTTCCTCATGCCAATACCACCCTCTTAATTACTGAACTGTCTTGAAATTAGGTAGTGTGAGTGCTCCCACTTTGTTTCTCTTTTTAAAAATGGTTTTATTTATGCTAGATATTTGAATTCCTATATAAATTTTAGAATAAGCTTGACAATTTCTATTAAAAAAGCCTGCTGCGATTTTGATTAAATTGCCTTGAGTCTATACATTAATTTACAGAGACTTGACATCTTAATATTGAGGTCACTAATCCACAAACACAATAGTTTTATTTAGGTCTTTAATTTCGTTGTTGTTTTTTTAGAGGAATTTGTGATTTTTTAAAAAAAATGTTTTTGTTTATTTTTAGAGAGAGTGGGAGGGAGAGAGAGAAAAACATCGACACTAGAGCAAAAGATCTATCTGCTGCCTCCTGCATTCCCCCTACTGGAGATTGAACTCCCAATCTAGGTATAAGCCCTGACCAGGAACCCAACAGCAACCTTTTGGTGCAAGAGACAGTACCCAACCAACTGAGCCACACCAGCCAGGGTTAGATCTTTAATTTCTTTATTAGTGTTTTATTGTTTTTAGTGTGCCAAACTTAGCCCACATTTTGTTAGCTTACTGGTATTTTTTAAGATTTCAATTTTCTGTCCTGGCTGGGTGGCTCGGTTAGAGTGTTATTTTGTGCCCTGACCAGGAATCGAACTGTGACCTCCAAATTCATAGGTCAATGCTCAACCACTGAGCCATGCTGGTTGGGCTATTATTGACTTTTTATGTTGACCTTATATCCTATGACCTTGATAATCTCATTTACTAGTTCTAGTAGTAGCTTTTTTGTACATTCTTTAGAATATTCTATGTTGACAATCATATAAACTGTATTTTTTCTTTTTTTAATATACAGATTACTGTTGAAAAACACAGGTTTGAACTGTGTGGGTTCACTTATACATGGAATTTTAAAAAAATTATATTTTTATTGATTTCAGAGAAGAAGGGAGAGGGATAGAGAGATAGAAACATCAATAATGAGGGAGAGTCGTTGATCAGCTGCCTCCTGGATGCCCCACACTGGGGATCGAGCCTGCAACCTGGGCATGTGCCTTGACCGGGAATTGAGCCAGTGACCTTTTGGTTCATGGGTTGATGCTCAACCACTGGACACACACCAGCTGGGCAGAATTTTTTCATAAATATCAGTACAGTTTGTAAACCGGGGT